CGGTCGCTTATAACAAGCGACTAGTAGAGAAAACGAGACAGCGAGAGAGAGCGGCCGTCCTTTTCGCTCTAATGCTCGCTTGTGTTACGAGTTACCGATAGAGCGAGAAGGACGGGCGCTGCCTCTCGCTATCTCGCTCGCTCTCGCGGCGAAGACGGCCGTCTCGATGCCGGTAAATGTCTGCTTGGTGGGGGTACAAGTGGTGGGGCTGGATTCCGTGTTGCCGGGAACCAAATGTGCATCACTGCCTGCGATCCTCGTGTTGCTGGTTTATATACTCGAAAGGAGTGACGTCTCGCGGTATGGGGGGAATCTCGAATTATTATTCCAGATTATTACTCTTGTTTTATCATGCCGAAATCTCGTTAATTATCGCTGATTTCTTTATTCTAGATAAATGAGGTGACTCTTCGTATTTGCTTTCATCGCTAGATGTCTTTGCAGCAATCAAATGCATCTGCAACTGCCCGTTGCAGAGATCGCGGTTTTTATACACGCACTTTCCATGTTTAGTCGTTGAGCGGAAAAATTCGCGATATTCGCTGAATGCCGCGCTCGATGCTTTACTAGCCGGTTGACTGTTTTTGAAGAAAATTTCCTTTTGTTTTAATTAACAATCCTCTTCTTTGGTTATTGCTGATTGGTTTGGCCGTTAAAAAGAAGAAAGAGAAGAGAAAAAAGAAAGGATTTCGGTTGCTTTTCGTAGGATGGTTGCTCGCGGTAATTGCTCTAGTTTAATAATTCTAATTAGTGGGCGAAGGAGGTTCCTTCCCCTAATTTTTACAAGTGCGTGTACGTGCTCCTAGATTGCATGGATTTTCCTTTTGAGATAATTTAGATGAATTATGTCGCGAGGTTCATGCGCTGGTAGCGTGGCTGCCGTAACACGAGGGAGAGAGAAAGGAAGCAAGCGAGAGCAAGAGCGCCAGAAGATCAAGCTTCGATCAGCTGCGGCGCTATAATACGTGCGATTTACGGCTACAGTTACGTCCTGCCTGTCAGTTGATTTTGTCAGTCGGACGTTCCCCCCCCCCCTTAAAATGGAGTTTGGCGGTGAAGCTCTCTCCTTGTGGGGGATGCTTGCATGCACCTCGGTGAAGATTGAGTGCTTTCCGTTATTTGTTCTTCAAGTTTCTCGAAAGCTTGTTTGAAGGCCATTAATTCTCCAGGTATATCGTACTGTCCTATCTTTTCTTCTATTAGGAGGCGTCATGGTTTTAGCGACGGGGGTAGTGTTGTGGCTGAGAGTTCCTGTGGGTCGCTGCACCGGTACAGGGATGCTGTGGATCAGTCGGGCTTCCCCTTGAATGTGAGCGTAGTATCCCGATTGTTGAGTGAGGGCGTACGCTAGGTTGTTGGGGTCGCCATAAGTGGTCAAGATAGCTATTTGTAGTTTTAGTCCTTCTGGCATTTTTCTAGAATAATGCTGGCGTAAAACCCCTTAACGCTTTCGTGCGCAGTACGCTTAACAAAGTAATATTGGGACGGAGAATCGTAAATAAAACGCAGCTTACTTATTTTCCTAAGACTACTATGTGTAACTTCTCTTATGGCGAAGCGCGGATGCTCCATTTGTATAATAGTGTCGTTACAAGCATTGTGAAGTGTGCTGGCGAGGAATATAACACCGTTCTTACCATCGGTCAATGCATAGACGGTAAGGTAATTATTAGTCCGAATTTGTGTTGCGGGGCCCCTGTAACTAATGGTGTGGGTCAGGGTGTCGCACCCTTCGTGAAATAGTGGGGACCAAAAATTGTAGTAGCTGTTCTCGTCGACACATTTCAGTTCGCTATATCTGCATTTAGCATAAGTGTGTAACGGAATCTTATCTACTAATAAATTAACTTCTACTGTTTGTTTTTTTAACGAGATATGCACAAAACTTTTAACAGTTACATCATGATTCATAACTTCAACTGGGGGAATTATGGTTCCTATGGGCAGTGCCCTACTATTTACAACATTAACAGCTAAATTATTAAATGTTATGTTTTGGATCGTATATCGACTGTATACGTGTGTTTCTATACATGTGCTTAATGCGATAGGCATATAATATTTGTCGTATTTAACAATGTCGTTAGTAGTTTGCTTCGTATCGGTACTTCTATTTATCAATCGTAAACGTTTTCTATCTCTACCCTGCAGGCTAATACGTCAACATTAGTGACTCTGGAGCGTAGTAGTAGTTTGATATAAGTTTCTCGTTGCGAAATTTTTTCCTGAGGCGGACTACAGTCTTTAACGTCGAGGAGTGAGATAAGGGTTCCATTGGGGTCTGTTCTTTCACAGTCGTAGCCCACTAGGGAGTCGATACAGCGGACCAGGGCGAGTATGGCCAAAACCTTGCGATTCATCTGCAAAACAAGAGCGTGATCAGCCGGGCTCGCCGTAGTACGCCTTCTTAAGTCGATTAGTGTGTACTACTTTGATTTTGTTTTCTCTTAGTTTAATTCTGGCGTTTCCGCTGTCGAGCATCTCAATGATCGAATAAGGACCAACTTTATTCACTGTCAAATTTCCGCGTCTTTGGCTCATTGAGCATGAAAACGCTGTCTCCCACCTTAAAATGTTGTACGTTTGTATGTTTGTCATAATACGTTTTTGATTTTTGTTTTGACTTTTCTAAATTGGCTTTGACGATTCGTTGAATATCGGAAATCTGAGTGAACAAATTCATTAGATAATGTTCGTATGTCTCGGGGTCGCTCTCGCGATCCATTCCCGACGGGATCTGCGCAGGGGCGCCAAATACCAACTCATACAGTGTGAATCCCGTCCTTTCGTGAACAGAGGTGTTATAGGAGAAGCTTGCCCTTTCTATAAGGTCGTCCCAATCTTCGTTTTTATTCATGAAGCATTTTAGGAACTCTGTGAGGACATGATACGAGCGTTCTAGAGAACCGTTAGACTGCGGGTGGAAAGCTGTGGTGCGGAGTTGCTTGATTCGAAATTTTTTCATATTGACTCTAATCAGATGACTTGTGAAATTTCTACCTTGGTCGGTCAATATGCTCCTAGGGCATCCGAATCTACATATAAAATTATTTACAAAGCCAACTGCTGTAGTTTCAGCGGTGGCGTCTGATAGGGGAACGTAAATAGAATACTTCGTAAGGAGGTCTTGCATTGTGAGAACGTTCGCGTTTCCTTAGGAGGTCCTAGGGAGAGGGCCTACAATGTCTACAGCGACCTTATCCAAGGCTCTGTAAGCATCATAGGTTGCTTAGTTTTCCTTCTTACAATTTTTGCAGCTGACATATACAACAGCGTCTAATAAAGTCTTGAATTTAGGTTTTTAAATTTTTCCACGCGTATTTTTGTATTTAATTCGAAGGTAGGTTTTAGTTATCCCTTTGTGACCTCCGGCTGCAGATTTGTGATTTTCCTGTACAATACGGATCCTATCTTCTACTGGGGGAGTGATAATATTACCTTTGTATATTGATATTACTACGGAGCGTTCCGCGAAAGCTTTTTGGAAACAAGAGAGGGGGTGATCCCGATTGACCACGTCTCGATTGGACACCACCAATCACAGCGACCGGTGCTTAGGAGCTTTGTAGTCTCAAGCGCTGTGAGTGGCTCGTGTCCAATTGAGCCGTGTCCAACTGGGTGCCACCCACAAGAGAGTATGTGATCCCAGGTGGTTATCGATCCTTTCGGTTTTAAACACGCTAAAGGAGTGCAGGGATAGCTCGTTAGTAACATCTAGCAAGGATGCGAAACATTCATCTAATATATCAGTGTCAATCCTGATGTTAGGTCTTTCCTTTACAATTAAGGCAATTAAGTGTCGACCTGCGTTGGCGGACGGTACCACGCGAGCTCGCCCCAAAGTGAGGTTATCGAGAGGAGGTAGTTTGTTAGTTCCGTGGAGCTCAGAGGCTCCGTTATCTCCTGGTTGTTGATTTCCGGTTACGAAAATTATGTTATTGTCACGGTTGGCGAGTAGCACGTTAATTTCTCTAAGGATGCAATCAAGGTTAGAAGAAGGGTTTAGTTGGTCTTCGTTTCCGAATTCAATGTCGGAGAGTTTTGTCTCTGTATCGCTCTGAGTTTCGTCGTTAGTTAATGGAGCCGGCATAATGTTCCTTTCGTCGCCGGGGGCGCGGGGCCTGTGGTAGCGCAATTATCCACGTTTGATGTCGGTTAACTTTGTCGGGGCGTTTAAAGTCATATGTGCTTGAGTCGATTTCGATTGATTCATCGTTTTCTGTATCTTCTAGTCCGGATGATTCTGAAGGGGAGTCTGGTAATAGAACGCAAGCTGCGGAAGGGGAAGTTGAAGGAAAAGGGAACGATTCCTCAGACCTTGTCTCATCGGAGGTCATTGGTGCCCTTGGCAGATTCCTACCTCAGATTCTACTCGATTGTCGAATAGCTAGTTTCAGGGGCGGTTCATCATCGAAATCGATTATGTCTTCAATGCGGAAAGTCGCGTCGGACTTCCGGTGACGTCTTTTGCCGAGGATGAATATGGAAAGATAATGGCAGTCTTGGGTGGGAGGAGGGTTTTTCGCGAGAGAGCGTCTGCGTTGCTATTGCTTGCCCCGGGTTTATATATAATTTTGTAATCGTATTCTTCCAACCTTAGGCGCCATCTCATGAGGCGAGAGATCGGGTTCTTTACTCTATGTAACCATGTCAAGGGTCGATGGTCGGTAACTAGAGTGAACGCGCGTTAATGCTGAACACGATGGCTAATAGCTCCTTCTCTATTGTAGAATAATTTTTTTCAGCGGCATTTAATATTCTTGACGCGTACCCAATGGGGAGGTCGTGTCCAATAATCCCTTGGCTTAACACTCCACCAACAGCGTAATCTGATGCGTCTGTAGTTGAGTATAAACTCGCGGTTGAAGTCTGGGTATTGTAAAATAGGTTCGTTACAAAGTGCCTTTCGTAGGGTGTCAACAGCTAACTGTGTTTCTCGATTCCATTTGAACGGTGTTTCTTTTTTCAACAAGTTTGATAAAGGGCTGGCGACCTTGGAGAATTCGGGTATGAAACGCCTGTAGTACCCGGCAAGGCCTAGAAATTGGCGCACGTTTTTCGCATTCCGTGGTACTGGAAAGCCCTTTACAGCTGCGACCTTTAAAGAGTCTGGGCGAATGCCATCCTCTCCTATTACGTGCCCTAGATAAGCTACTTCGTGGCTAAGAAACTTGCATTTGTCAGGTTGGAGGGTTAGATTATCGTCGCGCAACCTTTGCATTAACTTAATTATCTTAATCTCATGTTCCCTCAATGAGCTCGCGTATACCATTATGTCGTCCATGTAAACGAACATTTCCACCCCTTGCAATCCGGCTAGCGTTTGGTCCATAAACCTTTGGAAAGTAGCGGGGGCGTTCTTTAATCCGAAGGGCATGCGAGAAAATTGAAAATGCCCGTGAGGAGTTGAGAAGGCAGTTTTGTACGCGTCCGCAGGGTCCATAGGGATCTGATGGAATCCGCTCGCGTGGTCTAGTACCGAAAAGTGGCGCCACCGAGCTGATCAAGTATATCGTTGATGTTGAGCAGCGGGTAGGCGTCCCCTACCGTTTTTTCATTCAGTTTCCAGTAATCTATCACCATTTGCTACTTTTTATTGCCTAAGGAATCTGGTTTCTTAGGCACTATCCATATGGGAGAGACAGAGTGAGTGACAATTTCCTTTGATACTAAGTACTCGTACTTGTCGAGTAACTTCTTCGCGATGCACTGGAGGAAAGCGGTATTGTTTGCAGTGAATAGGCAGATCGTCTGTCGTAACGATTTTATGTGTTTGTAAATTCGTTTTGTCGAGATGCTCGCCAGGAATATAGAACCTGTCGCTGTGCGATTTAACTATATTAATTACATGTTCCTTTTCAGGTGCGGTTAGGTGGTCGCAGTAGCTCTAAAATATTCGATATTCTATCGTGCGCTTGAACAATATTGATTTCGCGGATTCGCTTTTTCTCTTTACGCTCTTTAAACTTACATCTCGGAGTGTTTATAATTTCATTAATAATGCTTGTGCTTTGATTCGAGCTACTGAAACAATTTATTAGCTTATTTTTAAGCTCGTTTGGCGCAAAAGATCCAGCGATTGAACTTCGCATGAGGGGAGCATGTCCCTTGAAGCTCCCGCGAGGGGATGGTTCTACCAGCGCGATTTGTAGATTAGCGGCGTCTGGTGAACAGGGGGACCCCTGGCGAGCGCTCATAGCGATAGGTTCAATAGAACTAGTAGAATTAGTAGATTTAGCAATTATAGTGTTAAGATTAGCAGTATTAGAAAAATTAGTAGTATTAGAAAAATTAGTAGCTTGGATGGCTCCTTGAGGAGTAGCCTGGTTAAACGTTAATTCATTGTTAGCGTTAATAATGGGATCGTTGGTTTCCTTTATCTCTTTTCTCGGTAAGTTAGGCAGAGATTCG